CACTCTCACACCCCATCCGTCCCCATCCTCAAGCTTTCATTATGTTTTCAGCATTTTAAAAAGCCGTCACCATGGATACGGCTAATAGCAGGCAGGGGCGCATAGCAGCGGAGGATATGAATAGGCTCTCTCTAAGAGGCATCTTGGTTGCCTTCGCTGCCGTCACGGAAGCAGACACGTTTGGATGAGCTCGAGTCCAATGTCGTCAGAGGAATCTGGTGCGTTTGGCTTGATTGATCGAGTGATTAACAAAATGCTCTCTGTGTCCACAGGTTACTTCATCTATGACTTCTTTGACATGTTGAGGAGCCAGAAGCTGAGCCAGTCCTGGGAGCTGCTCTTTCATCACATCGTGGTACGTGTTCAAAAATAAAAATAAAAGACAAATGATGTCATATCTTGGCTAAAGTTGTTTCAAGTTATAAGAGAGGCCTCTTCCAGAGTGATCTCAGCTCAGTATTGGTGCACCTGCGAGAAAGACAAAATACCGGTCTTTCTTGTCAAGTAACATAGAGCGAGGACTAATTAGATGATCATACCAGTGCGACAGCCTCCCTCCACTTCACTTCAACCTGCTTTTTTGTGAACTTTGAAGTCCTCCTGACTTCCCCCCTCACACTCACTGTTCAACCACTCATTTGTTTCTATCACATTCCTGTGAAAGCCGGGCATCTTAGTGGCATGTTGACCCCCAGCATGCTGGCATATTTTCCTGAGGGGAAGTGGAGGTCAGATGATCTGACCCGTCCTCCGGCTTTGCTCTAAAGAGGGAAAGGAGATGAAGTGGCAATATAGGGAGAAAAAAACCCCCCAAAACATCCTCACTGATTATTTTCTCTCCACGCTTCTGACTGCATGACCTACATCCAGGACCATGCAGGTGTTGTGTATTGCTTTCTGTTGCCAAGCTCTTTCTCTTGTTAGTGTAAGTGTATTACTGGCAAGAGCTTTGTTGAAATTTTATCAGGTGCAGGTTGCTGCCAGGGCTGGTGCAGATTTGTACTGTGCAGCAGTCACAATTTAAGCCTCTGTTTGGGTGTTAATAAACTGTGTGGAAGTATTTTTCTGCAGACTTTAAAAAGCAGGTCACCGGACAATTATCACGCTGATCTTCCAGTTGCATATTTGTAGATGTAAAGTATGTGTTAAAAAAACATCTCTTTGTATTTCAGAAATGCTATAAATAAATGCTATCGCTAGAAATATACAGGAATATTTTTGGCTCATCCGTTATGGTTTTTTAATGCAAACGATTCCAAGATAGTATATGGAAATTCCTTATACACGTCATTTCTCTGATATCTGACATGCATCATCGATCTGGTATTGTCTCCACTCTTCTGTGAGGATTTGGGTTGGTTTTTTTTTTCCTTTAACCAATCACCAAAGAGCAATGAATCCGCCTGAATCAAGTGTTGTTTTAGGACAACGCCTGACATGCATCCAGGCCAGCATGCTGGTTTTGGTGGGTTTTTGAGAGTGAAGCTGAGCAAAGGAAAAACAGTCTCCGGTGTGAGGTGACACTGAGATCACATGAAGATAAATATGGTCCCCTTTGTTAGTGCGCTTCCTTTGTTCTGCCACACAGCTTGACAGCCATGTTAAGGCCCCGTTTCAACCAATCCCATCACTTGATACTGTAGCTGACGGCTGGTCAGTAGTGTTCGCGTTGTTATTGTATTTTCCACCTCACGTTTAAGTTGAACTTTTCTTCTCCATCTTCGGTAGTTACTCCAATCCCTCATTTGAAATTTAAGAAAACTTCTTCAGTTGTGAATTATTAGTTATTTTACATGATGCCACAACAAAAGTCTGCTCAGAGGAGTTGATGGATTCAAAAGTTTTCCCTGAAACAGCACCAGAATGTCCGATCAATTACAGAAAGTGTGCATAAGCTAATAATTCAATAAATATTTGAGATTTTCTTTGTGGGTTGCTGGAAGGACACTGTCATTATCAAAGTGGTCCCTGAGCACTTGACCCGGCAGGAGGAATTCTGTTTGTACTCAGTGGCTAGAGTGCAATTTTTTTGTGTGTGTGTTTCCTAAAATTTCAAAAGCTCTAGATTAACATGCAAAAAATAGACTTTATTAATCTCTTTTTCTTCTAACTTGCCAATGTCAAACCATGTGTGTTCTTTGAATTATTAGTAATGATGCAGACACTTGCACTTGGAGAAATACTTGCATCTAGCAAATTTGCAGTTAATTAAACTTTGGAAGGTTTACAAGAAACCACTGGTCAATCTCAGTCTGCACAGCATTAAAAAAGAAAAGTTCCCAGCAACACCATCTTTATGGCTGTGCTCATATCCAATAGTTTTGCTGGACCAGGATTTGGGGCAAAATAATAGATTATTTGGTGTTTAGGTGTCAGAAACTGTTCACTAAATGTGTTTGTGGACATAGTTTTGAGCGATAACTTCACTGCATCCAACTAAGATAACAAACATTGGAAATATTGGAATGGAGGGCTGCTATTGATTGATTTTTCTGGGGATTCTCAGTGTGCATCTTTGTCTGGCTTTATAGGTGCCGGGTAACACTTCAAGTATTATTTTCCAGCATTATTTTGCTAATAAAACTTTGGCAAAATTGTTTTTTAGTTCTTATTCAACTCAGACATCACTGTCCTTACCACCTCATCAACCTGCAGTTCAAAGCTGCTGTTTCCGAAGGGCAGCCAATCGGAAGAAAGTTGTCATATAGAGAGGGCAGGTGTAAGGTAAAGATGGATTATTATGCAAAGATACTCTTGTGGAGTAAAACAGTGTCAAGATGGAGCTAGAAATGAGCTTTGCTAGAAATTCTCAAATGTTTTGGATTATTTGTGGGAAACAGCTCCAGCATCACTTGTCAGTAGGTGACAAAGGACTAACTGGGAGGAGATATTTGTTTTCCCGTTTTTCTGAAAGTCTCGTCTTTTTCTCTTTCACTTCCTGGAGTTTTAGTGAATGGGTGCTTTGGCCAGGCCAGCTGGCTTCTGATTGTCATTAGAGCGTGGGAGGCCATTCACACAGCTCTCTGTGCTTCTCAGCAAACTAAATCTCTTTACACCCTTCGTTTCCCAATTGTACCATTCATCCTTTTCTGTGACGTCTACCGCTTCATTTCAGCGTTAAGCAATCCTCCCTCAACTCTTTCGCAATATTGACATCATCTTGACTAATTTCTTTTCTACTTTTGTTGCTCTTTTCCTTGTTTCTTTCAAATGCATATGGTATACAGAAGGTTACTGTGTCAGGTGTTCACATACCAGTCACCTGAAGTCCAAAACCAAGGAGTTTTCCCAGTGTGCTAAGACCTGAACCCAGTAAGACCAGCTGACCATGCAGTCCTAGAACAGAAGGCTGCTCTCTAGTTAATCTTCAGCTCATATGGGCAGCCAGCTGATTCATATTCCCCCTGCATTTCATCTCCCCATTGCTGCAGACCCAGACCTAGTGTACAATCTGGCTTTGCCTGAGCAGTGACACATGCAAACTAAAATGTGCATATGCCATGCTGCATGTAGAGCAATTGTGTGACTGAAAGACACACCCTCCCATATTGTCCACAAGTTATTGGAAAATATGGGAGGGTGTGTCTTTTAGAGAAAAGTTTTGAAAATGTGTTTAAAAAAATGTGTTTATTCTTCTGTGTTGATTTCTGGTTAATGTAGGTCATAAAATACCATGGGCAAAACAAACCCTCTGACTAAATATTGTTGACTGTACAGGTGGAAACACGTGTAAAAATACATTTTGAATGTCAGTTGTGGTCACACCTGCTGCTAGGTCTTGTAAATGTGAAGTGCACACTAACTTCAGTGCAGTTTTGCTGATCTGTTCTCGCGGTCCAGGAGAAATAATAAGTCAAACTCTCCATGGAAAGTTTTTTTTTCCCCTCCTCCTTATTGACTGCTATGCAGAATACAGCTTCTTATTTCGGTCTCAGAAAAATGTGGGCCCTGCCACACTCACTCGGGCCTGATGAGATCCTGTCTGCCGTAAACTCAAGCTTCCTTTGCAAAACAGGAAGGCCTGATCACTCTGACAGGAGTCGGGTGGCTTCTTCTAAGGGTCAAAGATGTGTACCTACAATGGTATATTTAATATGTGATAAAAATATTGTGCAGAGCTTTCTAGAGTAGGGCATAGTTAAATAATGTCAATTTTTTTTCCCTTTGTTTGAGCTAAACTGTACCAAAGTGATCGCTTAAAGAAAACATCCACCCCTACGATGAGTATGTTTCAGCCATATTTACTCATGACTCTCGGAAACTGTGAGCACATAATTAAAAAGCAGAAGGACGCCAGCCAGACGCAGTAGGACAGACTTTTTTTTTTTTCCATGAAGCCTGAAAGCATGTGAGTAACAGTATATATTGGTTTTAATGATGATACACAGTAGAAGCACAGATAAACTCACAGCTCCTTCACAGGGGATTTTACGTTTTGCGGCATGTTTTCTTTCATAAATGTCTGTCATCCCTCTCTCATTAGGCAAAATTTAGTTATCTTCAGTGAGC